TTTTGAAAAAGAAAAGCATTTCTACTTGAGACCTTTTGGTGGTGGTGGTGGTCTTCCAAATGTCGTTTATATATGAGTTTATTGGAAGGAAAAAGGACAGCCAAGTTTGTAATTTTACAGGGTTTTTTGTGTGCCAAATTGTTGTTTGTTTATTGAATGGGTTAAACAAACTGGGAAACAGTGTTAATTAGTGAGGTTAAGAGGTGCTGGTAGAGGGCTTTTGTCACCAGGCTAGCTGTTTCCCCTATTTTAAGTCTTTATTCTAAGCTAAATTAGCCAGCTGCTGGCTGTAGCTTAATTTCTACCATACAGACATGAGACTGGCATCAATTCTTTCACATTACTCTCAGCAAAGTAAGCAGTTAAACTCATTTCCCAATCTAACTCTTTGAGTTATTTTTAACTAGAAGGGATATGTCTGAAAAACATCTTAGACAAGTACAACTAGATTTTAAATCTAAATATAAGATTATTACTCTTGGTTAGATCTTCAGTTTTTGCAGTGAGACACGTCGTTGAGTCAATTTATGTTCCCTAATTAAAGCTCCCATCTGCTATTCATGTACTTTTAAGGAGTGAATTATTACCTTGTCTATAGATGCCTCTGTAGGTAACAGATGGACCTTAAAAATGTCATCACCAAAAAACGATCTGCCTTGAAGAAAGGCTGGGACATCAATTTTAAAAATATCCCAATAGCATCAAATCATGACCTTTTGTATATGTTAATCTTGACCCATATTGTGTAGATTGTGTTTATATGTTCAAGGATCAAATACAGCTGAGGGGCTATTCTTACACTAAGTACTACATAAGGAAAGATTTCAAGTCAATGTCATCAAAATTGAAAGTTTTGGGGGCAAAAAAGGCAAAGAGCTTCCCTCAGGACAAGAAAGCAAAAGCCATATATGCAGTTTAAGGTATGATGGCCCAATGAATGGATAATAAGGCTGCAGAGGCAGTCTGGACAGACGGTCAGTGATCTTCCCGCAGGGAGAATAGAAGTTATTTTACAGCAGATTGCCTCACACTGCCCACACGAGCTAATTATACAGACTATTCATGCGAGTCTTGTATGGCAGAATTGTATAATTACAAAGACCCTGTTCCTGTGATAATGTGCTATGTGAAAAACTGATGGAGATTTTGGTTTTACAAGTAATATGAGCCCATTAGGTGATTTTCTTCCATGCACAGTACATTATCCATATTTCACATTAAGATATTTTACTTACACATGTAGTCATTTTATTCTGCGTTATGCAATGTCTAAAAATGGACTTGTCCTTTAAGATGACCTCTTCAGTAATCTCAGTAGCCCTTCTGGGAAATTGGGCTTTATTTTTTAAGTGTGCAAAGTGAGGCAGAGCTTCTGTATATGCTGTATCTGATGTGGAGGTGAAAAAGGCCATTTCATTAGATGAATCTTGACATAAAGTGGTGGCAGTGGACTGTTTGTGTTAGGCAAAAACAGGAAGTACGTCCCTGACAGGACTCAGCTCAGCTTGCAGAACAAGGTCAGTGGTTCCTTTGAGCACAACCATGGAGACTTTACAGCCTCGCTCAGCACCACGTCTAAGACTGGCAGGCAGGACTGCCGGACAGGAAAGGTGACAAGGGCAAATCAACAATCTGAACACACATATGAGCAGAGACAGATCTCCTAACTCAAGAACACTGAAGTGCATGCACACCAGTCAAACTTTAGGGAAGCAATTTTAAAAGTCCTTACTTCCTTTTTTTGAAGTTTTCAACTTTCGGGGCACAGTGCAGTCAAGTGCAGCCACCTTATTTATTTTGGACAAACACTATCCCACCATCGCATGAACGAGGCCAGGTGCCATACCAGTCAACACAGTTGGCGTTTACAGTGAGGGATCACATCTTTGTTGCTTCACTGTGACTCCTGCAGGAATTCTTATCGTTTTCTCCTGGGGAAACTCTTTGCCTTCAGGTGAAAACAAGCAGATGTTGACTTTGTGTATGTTTGATAGGGATGGGAATCTTCTTCAGAACCGGTGCCCAGTGAATCGATTCCTTGGAACCGTTAGCATGCCTGCTTAACGATTCCGCTTATCGAACGTTCCGCTCGTTGCAAATGCGTCATGACGTCACACACGCTCTGCGTTGTTTTGGTTCAGAACGCAGCAAACATGACGTCGAGGCAGAAGTGCTCTAAAGTTTGGTTATATTTCACATGAAAAGATGACAATACAGTCACTTGCAACACTTGTAAAGTT